ACACACACACACACACACACACACACACACACACACACACACACACAAAGGCTCACAGTTTTCCCATAATCCTCCAGTCATGCAATGAGCATCCACTGACCATACCAATACCCACAAACTGATTCATCCAGCAGTCCTGTCCTTCCTTCCTGTGGTGCAGTGGAGATGACCACACCTTATCATGAGTCAAAGCATGTCTGGCTGTCAACACATCTGTTCTGCTGGAGGACTGTTGTCCGCATCGCACAATGGGCACACAACAGAGACATTTGCATTTAATTAACAATTCTGGTTTCTGGATTGAATGTTTTTAGTTATCACATTATTCTGACATTATGTTGCTGAATATTCAGCCCACGGTCGACTTTTGGCTGAATCATAATGGCGATGCAAATCACTCAAACACCCAATCTGCCGTCCCAAGAGATATTTCCAGCCATTTGTGTTTACTTTAAATTCTCTACTGAAAGCAGAGTTGAGAAGAGAAGCTGTTTGGCTGTTGTAATAACAGCTGTGGGATGCATAAGGGCATGAGGGCTGTTGCTGTGATTTGTGTAAACAAAAAGAAAAGCTGCAGATGTTTGATGACAAAGCTGAAATTGAATCCTCGGCCAGGTGATCCTCTTCAGCATTCACACAGTCACATACTAACAAACACTATAACTGTATTGGTCGTGTTGAATGTCACTAGTTCACACTTCCACAAACACTTCAAAGATCAGTGCTAGCAATGATTGCCTCATGATTGCCATGTTGGCAGACGGGCCACATGCTTTACACATGAGAGACAGGCAGAGTGGGCCGGCCCTGCATACACTGTAATACTCCCATGCACACACATGCTGAAAAATTGCCCGCACTCTTCTTGCTCATTTCTTTGGTCTCCAAACACATGCGTCCCTGAATTTATTTCCCCTCCGCCTATAATCTGGCCCACAGATGGAGAGTGCTTACTGCAACCCGGCCCTCAACACACACGTACACACACTCACTTGAAACACCGGGAGCTGCTTCTGGAAAATTGTAACATGAACTGAGAAAAAAAAAAAAGAAAACAGGAGTGAAGCCGTAAGTGGAAAAGACGACTCAGGAGAAAGTTTTTTTTATTTCCTCTGGAGGCAGCGAAAGACAAACACTAAAATTCCCTGTAACTCTCAGGTCTTTTACCGGTGGGCATTTTCCCTTGTATGCACATGCATGCGTTAACACAATAATACTGTGGCATTTCAGAGTGTTTGTGGGACATTTGGAGAGAGAATTGTTTCCCCCGGCGGAGCCATTACTGAAACATGAAATTAGACCGCAGAGGCATTTTGACAAGGCCTCATAGACACACACTCAGGAGGAGGAGAAGGCTGCGGTTTCACTAGAGGGCCAGTCGAAGCAAAGCAAACAGTCACTACTGGCGCCTGGTGTGAGAGGCGAGCTATTTGAGGGAGGCCCGTGTGTATTAAGGGAAGGCTGGAGTGGTGTCGGTGGAGCAGTGAGCCACTACAGGTATCTAGATCTGTGGTGCATAAGAGCTGCAGGCAGGCATGATGCTCATGTAGTTAATTATGGTCCCATTTAGAGTAAAATAGACCATAAAGCAGGGTATGTTTTTTGGGCGTGGCTGTGATTGACAGATCGCTACCACAGCATTAATAAATTAATTTCAACCTGTCGCCGAAAAATGTCTTATTCGGTGTGAGGTTGTACTTAGCTCTCCCCTCTCATGTCACGCCCGGTTGCAGAAAACCAAGATGGCGACGGCCAAAAACCAAGATGGCAAACTCAAGGCTTCAAAACGACTGGGTGACTGACTATGCCCACTTCTTATATACAGTCTGTTGTTGCAAGAAGTTGTATCCTTATAATTTCTTCATTTGTGTTGACTTAAATTCACAATTATTGGCAGGACATTTTGAGGAAGGTTATTTGTTTCTTCGTTGTTTACCTCAACATGCAACAGACTTTCCCTCTCCCACGTAACTATCAAGGCAGCAAACAGGCAACAGAAAACGAGGCAGAGTGGGAGGCAATTACACACAAAGCTTTTTACACTTAACTCTGGGACAATTTGAAGTAACTGTGCTGATTATACATAGCATTAGGAGATAATGGTAGGACAATATGTAATACCCATGCA